TACGCGCCGGCAGTAAATAGCGTCATTCACGCTATTGTCGAAGATTCTATCGGACAACCATTACCTCGCGGACGTGTTCGAATAGAAACGCAGTTTATTGCAAACGCCGTATGAATATTCGATTCGTCGCGTCATACGAACTGGACCGTGTGCGTAAAATTAAAATAAATTGACTAGAGGACACTTATATACGGAATAAAAAACACGAGCCTTCTTGATTGTCTAAGCTAATGCGTGGAATATACCGTTACGGCGCGTTGATTTCCGTACGCGTTGAGTTACGTATGCTATAAATAATGTATAAATACGTCTGTGTTAGATATCTCGTTTGTACGTGCGGTGTGCTTTGGTACATCGAGTGCACTACGAGCGAGGGGAAAATCATGTCCGAGAGAGCGAGTGAATTCGTTAATTGACCAACCGTAGCTCGCGCGTAATCGTTCGGTCGAAATCGTCGACGAGAAAACAACGGAACGAGAAACAACGTTCGATTGTCGAGTGGAAACTCACGGTTTCATTTCTTTGAGATCGCGAGTACCGGACCTGCTACGAATCGATAAATCGAAGAGAATTCCTACCTCGGTATCCTTCGAGTCTCAGCAGTTATCGAGGCATCGCGATTCTGTTCAGCCATTCGATGACTTTCATTCATCGAGAACAACCCGCCACACCCCGGTTAAAATTAATCACACCGACTTAAGCGCACACTTTTCACCTCGACGATCACCTCCGTCGATCTCTCATCCCTCCCGGCCTCTCGATACGAATGATCGGCACTTGCATGTGCGTGTAATGGAGCAACGATCCGATCGTCGACAGCTAAATCACCTCGATGTCGCGTTGAAGAAACCGAGTTAAACGAGCCTACACTCGTGGCGGCTGCAAGCTGCTTCTTAATCCAATCGTCCTGCCGGATAATAAATCAGTGGCGTGGTAGCGTCCCATCCGTCGATCTCCTCGTTCGACTGTGCCGCTCGCCTCTGACAATTTAAGATCAGAGTGCTGTGCCTTGGGCTGCTCGGCGCGGATCTGCAGGTTGTCTGCGCGATGCCGGCCGACCCCAACCGGAAGTTCTTCGCCCCTTCGCGCGAGAAACAAGGCTCGCTGCCGATCGTCCAGTTGGTTCGCAGCGGCTCCGATCGATCCCGCGCCAGATCCTTCACGTCGATCCGCACAGTTTCCTGTTCGCACAGTTTCTCGACGCACGGGCACGAGTTGCTGGAGGACCTCCAGCTGTCCGCGCACGAAGCTCGCGCCGTACAAGACGTCTTCGCTTTACACGGACTATCGTCGACGATCGATTCCAATTGGCTGTTCGCGCGGGAGCCGTTCTGGTCCAGTTGATCGGAGCTTGCGAAACGCAATCGTTTCGGGGACTCGCTGGAACATCTCATGAAGGTGGATCGTACGAGAGATTTGCTCTTGAGCGAGCTTCGTGGTATCAGAGGGTTTGCGTTCTTCTTGGCGTGGCCGTTTCTCCGATTTTCTCGTTCCCTGTTCCGCTCTTCCCGTAGCACGGGGTCTTCGCCGATCAGCCAGTAGGTTAGACGCTCGCCTTTCCCTTTCATAGAGACTAGCCCTCTTTCCACCACCTTGAAACCGTCCAATTGATCTAGCAGTTCCTTCGTTTCTCTGCTGCAGTGGATCTTTAAAGCTGGAAAACAAAAGACGTGTAATAGTGTCGATATATTTGGTAGCTGCAATACGAACCATTCAATATGTACATGTAATATTTCTTGGAATTATCAATTCGTAATTTTTCTTGGAAATTCCGATCGCTTTGATACTCTTAGATCTTTCGTGAAATAGATATGAATAAAAGCTTGTGTATTATATAACTTTTTTTCTCTTTTTTTGCACATTTCTCCGATACAATCTTGATCGTTTAATTCTCGGTAGTTCCAACGTTATAAATAATCGAATCGACGCGATACAAGGAGAAACTGAGCATACAATGGCTAGGAAAAGTATCCTCGCAGTATCAAATTTTTCTAATTATACGAAAAATATCTACTAAGAATATAATATACTTTCACCTAATCAATTGATATGTAGTAATTCGCCTGCAAATTTATGAACAGAATTAAAGAAACGAAGTATTTACCCCCATGTATTTTATGTGTCTCTACATACCACGTGTATTTTTTGCATTTTTGTATTTCTCATAGATGCACGGTCTAGCAATGATAAATATAATAGCGTGCAAACACTTATCGAAAGCCTTCTTATTTTTTTTTTTTTTTTTTCTCTTACTGCCAATAAATAATTACTCACCAGATCCAGTAGATTCCATACGACTTGCAGTGTTCACGGTGTCTCCGAATAGACAGTAACGAGGCATTTTTAGGCCGACCACACCGGCGCATACAGGGCCTAAACGAAAAGCAAAAGTGTCGTCAGTTGTAATTCTTGCAATTTAATTGTAAAATCGTACACGTTTTTTCCACCGAGTTTACCAGAGTGTATGCCGATTCGCAGCTGTAGCTTGTCCAGAGGCCTGTGTCGAATGGTGAATTGTTTAATGGCGTCTAGGAGGCATAAGGACATACTGGCAATTTCCCCCGCGTGTTGGATACCGTTTCGAATTGGCAAACCGCTCACCTAAAACGAGAATCATTCAGGATCCTGTTTCAGACGCGTTCAGATTCACATTGTTTACTCACCACCATGTAAGCATCACCGATAGTTTCCACTTTGTAGACATCGTAATTTTCTATAGTCGAGTCGAAACATGTGTACAGATCGTTTAGAAAATCCACCACCTGCAAATGACGGTGCATTTCATTTCATATGCGTGTGTTTATTTATATTGATAATTAATAATTGCCGTTCTCCTGATTTCTCTTTCACGTAGATCTCTTCTCGGATACTTTCTTTCTTTTGGAACACACTTTATTCGTAAGAAGATAATAAATGTAGATGATAGATAATAACAGACTATGATTGTGTATGCTTTCACAGAAAATTTCCCAATTTTTTTTTTTTTTTTTTTTTACTCATACCACTGGATCATTTGAAGTTATAAAAGTTCAAAGCTTTCCAAACTTGTTACCATCGACTATAACTATAACAGCGTAACTCTAATTATGATACTATAGTCATTTATAAACCAACAATATCGTTTGAAGATTGGAAAACTTCCAGAAAGCACGTAATACACATTCAAAGTAAACTACATGCTTTATTATTTAATAAGAAAAATTTCTATTTTAACTATGGTGATACAAATGTGAATTTGTACAAACGTTCATAGTCTAACGACAAGATTAGATCGTATATATTAAAATTAAATGTTCAGAAACTATTTGTATTTTCATAATACCTATGAATTGAATTGTAGAGAACAGCGGGGTTATATTAATATTAATGATGCCAATAATATTGATATTAATACCTAATAGCAGTAATATTTTTATGCAAATTACCTGTAAAGGTGTGCTCTCGGCAGACATGGCGGTGAAACCGACAATGTCGCTGAAGTAAATGGTAACACTGTCAAAGCTTTCGGCTTCGACTTTGCGTCCTCGTTTCAATTGCTCTGCCACGTAACGTGGTAGCATTTCATACAGCAACGCGTCTAAAATGCATGTAAAACTTAATGTAATATAATTTGCGGGAAACGTGATTGCATTTTAATTGAGTGACATTTTTTGTGGAATTTCGAGCAACCTGTTTTTTTCTTCTCTTCTGTTAATTGGTCCGTTCGCTCGTCCACCAACGCCTCCAGATTATTCGCGTACTTCTCCATCATGGCCATCATGTTGTCAAATATGTTTGGTTTCCTGAGAGATCGTTTCCACGTCATTTTTTCTTTTTTTTTT